TTACCTACATAAAACGGTGAAGCAGTTTTAACGGCAGAAATAAGAAAAAGTTACATGATGTCAGATCAAATGAACAAAGCTTGAGAAGCCATACTTATTTAAGTTTTGGCAAAATATTTATAAATGGTAAAAGAAATTCTAGTTGGTTAGAAACCAGCAGCAACCTCAAGCTGAATGTCGCACTCCTATGGACTGCTCATTAGTTCTTTTTATCAATGGGCAAATCTCAGGATGAGTTAATATGTTGTAAGGATTATGTTAATTTTATTAACAGTTAAATTTTGAATTAAACTTCCTTTCCTATCGCTTCTTAATTTCAACTTTCTACTTCCGGCCAGAACGTAGTTTCAGAATCACGTGTGAATGCTAGTGAGGAAGAGCGGTATTTAACCGCGAAGTTCTACTGTCTTAGTGAAAGAGATTGGAAGAGATACCAGATATTCTGGTTACACGCGTCTGTCTTTTTGGGCTACTCTCTCGTAAGCTATTATTACGCTCGGGCGTACTTTAGGCGCTTGATAGCTTCGCAGTCAATTAGCGCTAAGGGGACAATTCTGCAAGAATTTTGATAGCTTCGGCTATATCTCTTTAGTTAAGATTAGTTTGATTCTTAGTCTCTTAAGTTCAAGCCCAAGTATCGGCTTTATTGTACAACTCCAAGACGGAGTTCTGTTAAATCTTAGTTGAATAATAAAGGGTCTTTTAAAAACCCTTTCCAAGTTTATTTATTGTCTCACGAACTCAAGCGATTATTCGCTTGCTAGTACTTAAGATTCCTCACTTTTAACTGTAAATTAGAATTACATAGTCGGGAATCCTGCATTGTAAGCAAAGTAATAAGCACTCTCATTATCATGGTTAAAAACGGAATTGTGCTACCGCAGTGCAGGGTGTTTTCTCCTAATTATTTTAAGAAAATGCCCCAAAATATTAAAATGGTATTTTTTATTCACAGTGTTTTCAGCAGTTGGTAAAAATTCGCATCGGAAAAGTCCAAGAAGTGCCTTGATTTTTGACCTCACTTTGACATGGCCTTGTCGGTTTTGCTTCGTGTTTCGAACAGCATTCTCTCGATTGTTAATATCAAAAGCTTACTTATCAAAAGTAAATCAAGTTTCTATTACGGATTTTAAGGATGTGCCTTAATAAAATGTGTTTCACGAGTGATTTGACCAAATTGCATATTTTAAGGAGAAAAATTTAAAGTTTTTGAAACAACTATAGGAACGAAGTGCCGTAAGCCTAATGATCTTTCAAAATTGCTTTCTTGAATCCAGCATATCATGCGTATCGCAGAGAAGATTGTGGTAAACTTTGTAGGGTTGTACTTGAAATAGTAATGTGAATTAGACCAATAAACCTAAGAGATAAGATGCGAATAATGGCATAAATGAGAAGGTTAAAATAACTTTTTTATTTAAACATACTTTAGAATACAAATTAAAAAATACGCAAGCTGAATAATTCAAAAATATACTGTAGTACAAGAATGCTACACTATATGCCCCAACTCATGGTGATACAACTAAACAGAACAATCAAATCTAAGTTAAACTTTGAACAGTAGTCAACAACTGCGCAATTAGCTATTACTCGTAGCTGGCTCACTAGTCTACCAGGGAGTCAGAAATTTAATGTCGGCAGGAATTGCCGACGCCGAATAATTACAAATATAAAAGTTGATAAGAAACTAACATGTAGTATGTACCGGAAGCCAGAGACAAATTTTTTTGTCTTAAAATCCAATAACCTCAGCTTAAATATTGGCTACATATTTGTTGTAAAGAATATAGAAAGAAGAAGTTATAGAAAAGAACGAAATCATAATAACTGGTTATTTTAAAATAATAACCTTACAACTTTGACAAAAAAGAAATGCCAGCTTCATTGGCTTTGAGAAAGGGTTTCGACAAAATTTGATACCATAATCTTATTTATAAGCTCATGGAACTTTACTCTCTCTCTCATTTATATGATTGCTGATTATCTCATTTAGGCAGAATATTTAATGAAACGTAATCTTCAATATTACCAAGCCAATTAAAGCTCGAGTTCCCCAGGGTTCCGCACCAGGACCATAGCTCTTCAATTTGTAAATTAATTACTTCCGACAGATAGTGTAATAAAAGTACATGCAAATGACACTGTTCATAATGGCAAACTCTTTAAGACAGCAAAATACAGTTTTCAAGCTCCAAGCAGCTTTCAACAGTATTGAACATTGTTGCTTTAAATACAGAATGTAAGTAAAAAACGCTCAGTGAAATATCTTAGTTGATACTTTTCTGAAGACACAAAATGCGGCCAGTATTAGTCAGTAATATTGCTTTCATTTGTGATATACTTATGTAATAAGAGTTAAATATTTAAGAGTCCTACTGGTTTCAAAGTTTTGTTAAGAAATAAGGGACAAGTGCCATCGAAAAATCTACTGGTGCGACGACGCCCTTGTGCTCTTAACGTGGATGGAAATCTAATCTTGCCATAGTAACTAAGAGATTTACCTTCATCTTAAGATTACGTCCATATTTACATACGCCTGGCCAGTTGGGACAATAGCAGTAAATTCACACAGGAAAAGATTATAAACATTTCAAAAGGTCCTTTACATAATCCTTAAGGCTTTCAGGTTGGTTAGAAACCAGTAGCAACCTCAAGCTGAATGTCACACTGCTATGGACTGCACATTAGTTCTTTTTATCAATGGGCAAATCTCAGGATGAGTTAATATGTTGTAAGGATTATGTTAATTTTATTAACAGTTAAATTTTGAACTAAACTTCCTTTCCTATCGCTTCTTAATTTCAACTTACTACTTCCGGCCAGAACGTAGTTTTAGAATCACATCTGAATGCTAGTGAGGAAGAGCGGTATTTAACCGCGAAGTTCTACTGTCTTAGTGAAAGAGATTGAAAGAGATAACAGATATTCTGCTTACACGCGTCTGTCCTTTTGGGCTACTCTCTCGTAAGCTATTATTACGCTCGGTCGTACTTTAGGCGCTTGATAGCTTCGCAGTCAATTAGCGCTAAGGGGACAATTCTGCAAGAATTTTGATAGCTTCGGCTATATCTCTTTAGTTAAGATTAGTTTGATTCTTAGTCTCTTAAGTTCAAGCCCAAGTATCGTCTTTATTGTACAACTCCAAGACGGACTTCTGTTAAATCTTAGTTGAATAATAAAGGGCCTTTTAAAAGCCCTTTCCAAGTTTATTTATTGTCTCACGAACTCAAGCGATTATTCGCTTGCTAGTACTTAAGATTCGTCACTTTTAACTGTAAATTAGAATTACATAGTCGGGAATCCTACATTGAAACCAAAGTAATTTTGTCGCTACCGAAAATTACAAATACAGAAGACCAAGAATTATTTCCCACAAAGAGGTATAACAAATGCCAGCTCAAAGTTTTAAGCAGCGCAAATGTCTTTTCGTAAATTTAAAAAAATGCTACTCTCTAAAGTAAATGACTTAAGAACGAAAAGGCAAAAGCAGGAACTTGAATATTCTTCACATCCTAAAGAATCTAATTGATAGTGGAATATGTTCAGTAATGTCTTAAACTGTTAAATAATGATAACTAGAAGCAGATCGCTAACTGAATAGGCACATTCTGCGTTAGTTGAAATCAATGGTCCGTCAAAGCGTGCTAAATCTTCTACGAGTTTTTTTCTTGTTTAAACGTACTCAAATCTACTATTTTCTTCTCTAAGCTACTCAAATCTATTATTTTCTCAAAGGCATGCTTTTGATCAAGCCCTCTCCCAGAGATGTTTTGTAACGTTTCAAATACTTTCGTAGTAGAAATTTCATTGCAAACAAAAAAAAATTGATTAATATTCCTTCCTCAATTCAAATCAAAATTTGAAAATGTTCAAAAAATTCCAAATTGCTAAAGCAAACACTTGTGCCTTAAAAACGAGTTTATTTGCAAATAACAAAATACGTGAAATAAGGACTGTTACCCAGATATTAATGAAAATCGTAACAATTTCTGGAAAATTTCTGCAAGCGATTTTTTGCAGCTGTGTATTTTACATGCATCATAGCCGGTGTCTTTTGATCCCAGTAGTATCGCTTTTAATTATTTTCCAAGCAGACAATATCCTTAATGATTATTCCAGTAGTTATCATAAATCGTATTTTGGTTTAATTAGTTGTGTAAAGTGTCATATAGGATTGGCATCATTTTAAATTACCAGTATGAAAATTTATTACATATATTTCTATGACCTTGACAAAAAAAAAAAAAAAAAAAAAAAAAAAAAAAAATTAGGCAAAAAATTGTGCCCGTATAAGACCCCGAAAAACAGTTTTTCTAGGCATAATATTTAGTTTGCTGTAACCGCTCCATTTTGAAAACCAGAACTCGCGAACATAGAAAAAATACAAATCACGATATTCCACAAAGTAAATATCTAAAATTTCTATAATGAAATGCATATGCTAGATAGGAAAGGAGCAACAAAACAAAATAAAAGGGCAAGAAGAATGAGAATGGAAGAACTCTAGACGCTATATCATTATCTGCATGTTTTAACCCCTGTTTAATAAAAAAGATTAGTTAAATAACAAAGTGGCATACTGTGTAATTCTTTGAATTTTAAAATATGCACAGATAAAGAGGAAAAACTTCATATCACTCAGCGCCAACAAAAGATGATGTTTTGTCAATTTGTTATTGAATGCAGCTATTTCATTTTCATCGGTGCTTTGTAAAATGTTAATAATTTCGTGCTTGTAAACATTCGAAAAACAATGGTATTAAGGTTACCAAAATAATAATTCATTTGAAGAACCACTAAACATTTATTTCAAGAGCCACCAAAATTACTCAAACATGCATTGAGTGTGAAAGAAATTTCACTCGTACTTTATAAGGTTTTTAAAACATCTGGAAAAAAGTGTTTTTCTTTAACATTTCTTTTCCTTTTCGCAACATTAAAGTATATGATACGATTTTCAAGATGAGTAAAATAGTACAAAAAAGTATAACGTTTACCTTTTTTATAACAACAACAGGCGGCCTCCCTTCCTGCGGCTTTCTAGTCAGCTCCCTAATGCGCGTCCCTCCACTATAGATTCTCGAGCGGATGGTAAGGACAAGGCGTCGAGGGATGGACATGATGATTACTACATCGTCCAGGCTCATGTGACGAACGTCTACCAGGTTAACGGCCAGGATTTCGTCGCCTACCCTTAGTAGACCGCTGTTGTACACTGCCGATTCCAGGGCTATTCGGGAAATGAACACTCCTTCAGTCTCCCTTAAGCCATCACCTATCAGAAGACAGAAATCATTCGTCTTGGATATTGTTCAGCCATAATTATGTCATTGAAAATACATTCATTTTTAGATTCTAAATTGGCAAAGTGTACTGTAATAAAATTCCATTCGGTTAATATGAGGTTAAAACTGCAAGCTGTCATGGCTTGCAGCCAGGAAAACTCATTAAACACTCATTTCAGTGAAACAATTTATGAATCTTGAATAACAGATTGAAATCTGGACATGGACGTTTGTTGAGAGAAGGCAACGGAAAGTCGGTTAATTTATTTATTAGGATAATTAATGTTTGTATTAAATGACATTGCTTATTTCACTGTAATTTTGTTATATGTAATACATTTAAAAAAATTTTTTTTTTATATATATAGTTCTTCTGCAAAATAAAATTCTGAGCAGTTTTTAAATTTAACGTTTGGTGTTCCCTTCAGGAATTTTTCGGGTACATTTAAAGGCCAGATGAAGGCTGGCCGCGTAGCTGCTAATAAAATATATTTTAGTGATATTCAGTTCAAGTTTTATTTGCAAAGATAGCGTACTGCATTCTATTTCGAGAGAAGTGGCAACAGTTAAAATCGCAAATGAGAAATAAACCTACTTTTGAGCTCATTGGTATATTTTCGTTAATCTGAAAGATTTTTTTTTAGATGTAAGACACATGTCTTAACTCCTGAGCATCTGGAAATTTTCGGTTCGTTCTGAATACTTCTTTTTAATCCTACATGAACTTGCATAACGAAATCAATTTTGTATTAAATATATACAACGCAATGATATTTAATTCCAGTTGTATGAAGATATGTTTCCACACTTCTTAGATTATGTAACTGAGAAAATGCTATTTGCATTGAAAGACGAGGAATTCTTATGCCTTTTAGTGTATTTGTCCTCTTTCCTGCATTACCTACTTGTCTATTAAAATTCATTCTAAAGGCTTATTGCACCCGGTAACAAGCAATAGCATTAGAAGGCTAGAATTATTATCTGCTCTGAATTATTCTGCTTTAGAATTATTCTGAAAGTAAAACTTCTAAATAAAAACTATTTATGCACTTTAAGCTACAGGGTAGCCACAGTTTTACAGATTTTTTTAAATATGTTGTTCAATATAATAATTTCTTTTGGAGAAAGTATTCAACAAATACTGCAAGCCTTTACAAAGTCAACTGACCGATTCATTTAAGCAGAAATATTGTTATGATCTACGGGTCCGTGGATTTCGAGTATTCGGGGAGTTTAAGTAACTTATGATAACACTTGATGAAGAATCAAAACGCAATTTATTTGCCAGTTTTACACAGGACAGTTCCAAAGACGAGGTTTACGTTCGTCGAAAAACTACGACAAGCACGCTGAAATAATCAGCAAAACATCCTTCAGGCTATAACGGTGAACATAGCTTCAAGGCGAGGTTCAAGACGAGGTTTACGTTCGTCGAAAAACTACGACAAGCACGCTGAAATAATCAGCAAAACATCCTTCAGGCTATAACGATGAACATAGCTTCAAGGCGAGGTTCAAGACGAGGTTTACGTTCGTCGAAAAACTACGACAAGCACGCTGAAATAATCAGCAAAACATCCTTCAGGCTATAACGGTGAACATAGCTTCAAGGCGAGGTTCAAGACGAGGTTTACGTTCGTCGAAAAACTACGACAAGCACGCTGAAATAATCAGCAAAACATCCTTCAGGCTATAACGGTGAACATAGCTTCAAGGCGAGGTTCAAGACGAGGTTTACGTTCGTCGAAAAACTACGACAAGCACGCTGAAATAATCAGCAAAACATCCTTCAGGCTATAACGGTGAACATAGCTTCAAGGCGAGGTTCAAGACGAGGTTTACGTTCGTCGAAAAACTACGACAAGCACGCTGAAATAATCAGCAAAACATCCTTCAGGCTATAACGGTGAACATAGCTTCAAGGCAAAGCAATAAAGTTCAGCTCCTCAGTTAATATCTGAACTCAAGACACTCCTCTCTCTCACAGAACAGGGAGGGTGTCTATAACTTTAACCTTCCTTCGAGAATATTCTCGAGAAAACCGCTAAAAATTGCGTTTTAGAATGTTCTCGCTTCGTCTGTGACATATCGGCATACCAAATATTGCCAACTGGGCAATTTCGCGCCGGATCTGGTAATCCTACCTTTCTCTGCCCCTTTCTGGCAACTCTGCTTTCTGGCAACGCTTTGCGGGGAAACTATCTCATAGCGCAGCCGCTAGGCATTTCCCAGCAATATAAGAGCCACTTATATTTCCCAGTTACTGTTTCTGTTATCAATTAAAAAATTAAAAATCCTTTGTAAAAGATAAAGAACTTAGAGTTTGTGAAACAGTTATATTTTTTCCTTAAACAAGTTAGTATTAGCAAAACTTGAAGGTGTCCGCAGATAACATCGCGAACGAAAACGTCGCGGAGAAAACAACGCAAGACGAAAACGTCGTGTTACAAAACATCGTAGGAGAAAACATCGCAAAGAGAAAACATCGCAGTTCTAAAACATCGTGGTGCAAACATCGTCGTCGAAAATAAAGCGGTTCAAAAACTTCGCGGTTTAAAAACATCGTCGTCGAAAACATCGTGGTAAAAAATAAAGTATCTACAAATCATCGCATGACGATAACATCGCAAACATGCTTTTTTCAGGCTTTAATAACTTAAATGGATATTCCCATAGTGATTTGTGAGCGCAAGATGGAAAGAAGGATAATTTTTACTTTCATAATTTTTATTAATTAATAAATTTTGCTGAGAAAATAAGAAGGAAACTTAAGCATAGAAAAGTAATGCAACTTATAGCACTTAATAGAATTTTAAACCGACATACGAGTAGTTAACTAACAAAGGCCATTAATAAATCATTTTTATAAAGTTTTTACTGGTAATTTTTCATGAAAAGTATAATCTATATGTTGCATTTAATTTTCTATGCTTAAGTTTCCTTCTTACGTTTTCAGCAAAAATTTATTAGTTAATAAAAAAATGTGAAAGCAAAAATTATCCTTCTTTACATCTTGCGCTCACAAATCATTATGGGAATATCCATTTACATTTATTAAAATCTGAAAAAAGCATGTCTGCGATGTTAGCGTCATGCGATGATTTGTAGATACTTTATTTTTTACCACGATGTTTTCGACGACGATGTTTTTAAACCGCGAAGTTTTTGAACCGCTTTATTTTCGACGACGATGTTTTGCACCACGATGTTTTAGAACTGCGATGTTTTCTCTTTGCGATGTTTTCTCCCACGATGTTTTGTAGCACGACGTTTTCGCCTTGCGTTGTTTTCTCCGCGACGTTTTCTTCTGCGATGTTTTTGCCGGGATGTTTTCGGCTGTAACCAACTTGAATAATGAAGTAAGTGCGTAAAATATATTATGGGTTTGAAGACTTGAATCTAATATCTCTTTGCTTACAGGTGTCTCCCTGATAACTGTTTTGAAGTGATATTGGTTTCGTTTCATCTTATAGTTAGTTAATAGCCAAAGTATACCTTCTTCTAACATGGAAGAAGAGTGTGTTGCCTTATAAGTAGCTATGCAAGGGAAATTTTTTTTAAGTCTCATATCTTTTATATTAGTATCATTATAAATTCATTTGAAGCAAAATTTAAGCATGATATCTTTTCACATCAGAATCCATTTTCTTTTAGTTAGATTATTAACTGGTACACATATTTGCCTTGCTTACGTACATAACATTCTATGTACCTTTTTAACTCAAAATACAATATTATATTAAATTACCAAATATTGCATGTTAAACTTTACAGGGTCTCCTTGAAATCATTGAACATCATTTGGTATTAATTTTTATTTTCAGATACTATTTCGTCGTTCCTTGCTAGTGAAAGCCTGTCAAAGGATTTATATTACTGCACTTTCAGATTCTTTTAGAAAGTAATTAGCTTAGGTGTCATTTGAGTACAAGCTAACTACAATGTTTATATTGTTCTACAGTTCATCATTATAATCAGCGTGGACAGCTTGTACGCTATTTGTGTAAACGATAAATAAGTTTAATCTTATTTCATCTAGTTAACTCTCTTTATTAATACTAACGATTTCTTATATTCAAAATTATATAATTAATATCATGTGTTTTGAAGAATAGGTTAAAAGAAACAGACAGTTGGTATAGTTCGACCGCCTCATTCGCGACCGTGAGCCCAACATGCATGCGCCATTCGGACCGAATTATTCTCAAAACAGGGTGGGAGGATGGAGACTTTCTTTTCCTCGAGCACATAAATTCTCTTTTTCCGGAGAAGAGAAGACTTTCACGTGAGATTTCACGTCGCAGCAAGTAATAACGCCCCTTTTGGACGAGTCTATGTCTTTTGGCAGAATGCCAGCCAAGGTTGAGGTTGAGCGGTCGAACTATACTTAAAAATAGTTTTGAATTGATTTAAATTTCTTTGAGGCAAACATAGATTCGCTCAACGTAAACTACGTAACTAAAAGGTGATGAAATTGTTCGTTGTGAAATACTGGCAAAAGTAACTCAGCTGTTATTTTTTGAGTTGATGGTTAAGCATAAAAGAATCGTATTATTACCTTCTCGTATATAAAGTCCAAGGGTCTGTCCAGGCCTTTTGATGATCTCGACGAAACGAACGACGTGAGTGGCGTCTGCAGCACTTAGGTACTTTCTGTAAGATTCAGCGCCCACGCGACCCAAACTGCAAGGGTCGAACATGCGAATCAGCATCTCGCCCCCTCTCCTTTCCACTGCGTCCACGTGGGCTGCCGTCGCTGCGTCGTAGTCGTTTTCTACGGCCTCGATCTGGCGGAAGATATCAGAGCTGATGCCGCTCACTTTCCGGAAGTCCCTCTGTACCACGATGCCATGATGCGGGGGTGGTGGACGGTGCCGAAGCACACGTCGCATACCCCCTTCTTCCGTGACCGTTTCCACTGTGTCTCCTCTCGAATCCTAGTCAAGAATTATATACATGTATAAGATGAAACAAACAGCCATACAAACACAAAAGTTGTTCACTAAAATATCCAAATTAGTTATCCAAACTACTTTAATAATAAAAAAAAACAGTGGAGTTAGCTGAAGATGGGATATTCGTACCCTCGAATTACAAGAACCTCTCTGTTTTTCTCTGTTCTCTGTGTTTGTTCATCATTTGAATATTTTTAATCTTAATCTAAAACCATTAAAAGCTTTAACTTAAAAGTCCAGAAAAATCAGTTTAATTAATAACCAAATCAAACCTTCCATTTTTTTTTTTTTTTTTTTTTTTTTTTTTTTTTTTTTGCCAAAATGCCATTTTTTGCAATTTCAGCTGATTTGGATTATTGATATCATCTCGCGAATCACTTCTGCCACATTCCTAAATTTCAAGAGAGAACACTGCGTTCTATGTTTAACATTTCTGTATGTTAGCTTTTGAAATAACCTTCTCCTCTCTCCATTTGCTTTGATTTAAAAGAGCTCAGAAAATGAGAAAATGTCAGATGTTGCTCAATAAGTTTTGTCAGATTTATCTTTAGGGAAATGAATTCCAAAATGTTTTAATTTATATACTTAAATTACTAAATTTCATGTGTAGCCTTTTTAATAAAGTTGGTGCAGAAGTCTGTCGGATTTAAATCCAAACGACTCTGCTGCAGGTAGAATATACAAGGCTGGGAAACATTTTTAAATGGTATTAAAAAATTACCTACTTATCTCATGTATTATAAATTATATGTATTAAAGTTATATCATTTATTTAAATCTTTAAAACAAAATTAAAATGCAGGTGCAGGTAGAAGTGGGCGGGATACCAGAAATTCACCTCTAGTCGTACAGATATAATTCCGACACACTAACTGCGCAGTTCCAGCTTAGGATTTGAGTGAGAACGGTCAGAGGATTTTTTACTTCTTTTTCCCTACTAGTCAACTTCTGGAGAGAATATCGGCTCGTTCTGTATTTTGAATGCCGCGCAAACACCATACACTTACAAATACTCATGACTTCTCCAAAATTCAGTGCGGCAGTCAGCGTCACTAACTATTATGCCCTCTGGGTGGTAAATTAAAAATCAGTAAATTTAGGCAAATATTTGAAATGAAAATTAAATAGAAGAGTACTGGGGCCTCCAAGGCTATGAGTCACCAATGACTGTCAGTGCTAAAACTACACATTACCTGAATAACAGTTTCCACCCATCCGCAAGCTGAGGTCAGTTGTGATTAATGAGACTATTGAAACCATTAAGACTATTGAGAGTCACTTGATGTCAATCACAGGATCACCGTATAAGGCAGTAAATTTTGATGTAATTTAAAATCGTAATTGCATCGAAACATATTGGCACTTTTCTAGATGTTAGTCACGGTTGAAATTTACTGGGATCAATCAATAGATCACCAATGGGGAACAATGAATTAAATTTTGATTTGTATTTAAATCAAAACTAAATCGAATCGCAATTTGCTCGCCAAGGTCGTCAGTCACCATCTCCCGTTAAAAATTTCCAGAGTCATTGATTATTTACTGGCTGAATGGCATCTAAAGTTAACCTAAATTTAGATAAGTTGAAAACTTAAAGCTAAAGCTAAATACACAGAAATCTTTTAAGAAAACAGAAATCTGCTAGTTACCAGCGACCTATGCAATGAAGGCCATTAGCGGGATCAATTTGTAAGTGACCACTGTAGCACAGTGCAGTAAATTTAGATAGATATTTAAGCTAACTTTAAATGTAAGAACAGGGATGCATTTCAGGACTGTTGGTCAATGGTGAACATCAATGTGCTTTGAGATCACCATTACCTTGTAGTATGAATGTTTTGGAGGTCAATCCATGGGTCTCCTATGTGAGGCAAAACAGTAAGTTTAGATAAATATTAAAACTAAGACTATGTTGTAGATCATGGGCCCATTTTAAGCATGTTGGTCATATAGCTTGAAAAAATATAGGCCGCCATTGTAGTCAGCGTAATAAACTTATACAACACTGACTACAGGGGGTGACACATATTAAAATTAAATCAAAGCAAGCCCATACCCATCAAGATAACGTGTGATCCAATGGATTAGGGTCACTAAATTTAGATATATTTTTTTAATTAAAATTAAATCGGAATATATCGAAGACATTTAAAGATTGTTGACCTGTAACTTGAAAGCCCCTTACAGTCAAATTAAAAGTTACCAGTATGAAGCTATGCTGCAAATTTAAGTAGATATTAAAATGAAAAATCAGTTGGAAGCTCACCGAAGTTCGTCAAAGCTATTGGTCAAAACTACTTATCAGTGTCCTTCCACATCACCAAAGATCTGCAGTTAAAAGACCATTTGATCTTAACTCAAATGCCATCCATATGGAACGTTGAAGTAAGTTTAGACAGATATTTAAATTGAAATTAAATAGAAATACACCATTGCCTTTCAAGGGTATTGTTCTCTGCTGACATACAAATTTAGTGTCTTTTGGGGCAACTCAGAGATTGCATGATGGAGCAGTGCAGAAAATTTCTACATATATATTTAAAATTAAATTGGAGTACACCTATGCTCGTCAAGCCTGTGTGTTGGTTACCAATGCAAATCTACGTAAATGTGATCTAGATGTTGGAGGATCACTTGGAATCACTGGTGTAGGGCAGTGCATTTAAATATATTTTTTAATTTAAATTAAAATTAAGCACATCAATACCTTTATTTCTCTCAGTTCTCTTAACCTTTTGAAGACGAGATGGCCATTATAGTGGCCCTAGAATCCTCTCTTTGAAAAGACGGGGTTGTTCACTTTAGTGGTCATGTCTTTTTCCCCCATTTTCCAGGCTGAAAAGCGGGGTGTAATGTCAAATTTGACGTCCCTGGGGTTTTAACCACTTATCTCTTTCAAAGGTCTTCCTTTTGCGACATAGATGCACCCTTCTGAGAATCCATTAAACTACACACAAGAATCTTTGTTGTAAATACGAGGTGATTCCTTAAAGGGGGAAAGCATTCGGTTCAAGATTCCCCGTTCTTTGGTAGCTTTTACTGCTACCGAAGCCCCGGCCTCAAAAGGTTAAGTCAGCTGTGTCACACAGTAAATTTAGATGGTTATTAAAATTAATGGAAAATCAGCAATGGTCGCCAAGATGGTTTTGTTGGTTATCAGCATCCATCAGTGTTATTAATGAATACTAATGACAAACTGGAAAACATCTGGAACAGTAAACACGCTTAAATATATATCTAAATAAATATTCCCAGCACATCGATGCGTTTCGCAGATGTTGGTCACTGGTTGCTGTAAGCTGAAGATGGTTTGAGTTCAACTAATAGGTCACTGGCGTAGTCAGTTAAGGTACACTTTTAAATTAAAATGAGAGGAAAGTGTAATATAATAAGAAAGGCCATTATTCAGTAGTGATCAGCAAGCTGGAACTAATCAGCAACCTAGAGATCATCGGTTACTACCCTTACATCAATGACCAGTGTTGTATGGTGCAGAAAATTTAAACAAAAATTTTAATTAACATGTAAATGAAATACAACAGTGTCCGTTCGAGCTTTTATTAGTGATCTATGGATTGATATTCAATGAATGTCGAACACAGACCATTAATGTAGAGGAATGGAATAAAATTGAGTAAGTTTTTAAAATAAAATCGCACTGAAAGACACTGCTGTCAATCAGATCTGTTCTTCGTTTACGCGTTGGTCACCAGTGACCTGTAGGTACTGGCGAGAATCCATAAGGTACTCGTAATGGGCAGTCAAATGAATGAAATGCTACAGAAGAACAGCCTCACTAGTCACTGGTGACCTATGGGTTTTCACTTATCAGAATAGGGCAGTGCGGTACTATTGTAGTAATCATATTTGCCAAAGAAATGAAGTATGTCCTAGATCATAACATGATGCAAAAGTTATGATTTAAAACGTTATAAGGTTTTTCTCCCACTTTCCTAGTGTGCCTTCGTGCTGTGATGGTTCTGCGCGCTGGGCCGGTATTTCAGAGGCCTGTGGCGAAGGTGATTGCTCATTTTTCATCTTACCTGCTTCCAAAAATACCTAATGTCTCTACAGTGGCGTCCGAACTAAAAGGGTTGTGGATGATGATTCTCCACACCCAGGACTTGGCGACTAGGTCCCCTGAAACCCTAGTCGCCTTTTAAAAAGGGGAGTATATAAGGTATTTATCCCACTTTCCTAGCGTGGCTTCGTGGTGTAGTGGTTCTGCACGCTGGGCTTGTATTCCAGAGGTCCGTGGTTCGATTCCCGGCGAAGGCGGTTGCTTATTTTTCATCTCTCCGGGTTTTTCAATTAGCCAAATGTCTCTACAAAGTACCTGTTACAGACGTTTCTAACGTGAAAACTAATTTCTTGAATATGTTTTGGAATTCTTCAGGTTTTGGTTTTCTGAAAACTTATCATCCGTCCCACATCTAGAGGAAGGGAATCTTAATTGTTTTCTTTGAGGGGGGAGAAAAACACTAAAATGTTTAATGGTTCTAAATTTGGAAGAAAACATGGTAATGTGATTTATGATTGTTATCTCTTACGTATAAAAAGTTGCCATTATGTTTAATTTAAACTGATATACTAGAAAGATTAAATATATATGAGAATTAAATTTTGAAGATTTATATCCAGACATATTTCCAAATTTTGATTATTTTTGTTCTGTAGTAAAATGCTGGAAGTAGTGTTACGGTTTTTGTATTTACTTAGCTATTTTTAATAGAATTTGTAATTAAAATTGTTTTATATTCCCGTGCAATGCAACGCGAGACTTATTCGAAGAGACAGCTACGGCGGAAAAATTAAAACACAGGAGCACGTGCATTTAACATTTTAATAACAGATATCTCGTAATTGTACACTTTTGCTATCCAGAAAAATCGAGAAAGTACGAGAATGTGCTCGTGCACAATTAAAAAGCTTTAAAAGCTGGAGGAAAACGTCTCAATTCAATTGTTGTTTGGGTAACTGTA